CAGGCAGGCCCCCTCCTGCCCACCACCCATCAGCCCTGCCCAAGCTCTGGGGTCAGCCCCGCAACACCTGGCACCCCAGGCCGAGCTGGGGGCCACATCCCTCAGACAGAACACTCCACTCTCCCGTGGTGTAGACAGAGCTAATAATTAGCTGTCACGATTTAATAATAGAAAAAGATAATCCATGCCACAACACACATGGATTTAACCAATCTTAATTTGGAGGGAAAATAACAACTCTAAATATATCAAATGCAAGTTTTTCAAGACAACCTGCGAGTGAGTTTATCTCGAGTTCCCAGCACAAGCAAGTTATTGAGTTTCTGCCACTGGCCAAGCTAATATTCTTTTTTTTTTTTTCTTTTTTGCATTTATTTTATTTTTTAAAGTCTGAAATGAACCGTCTCAGAGCAGCATGTAAATCCTTCGACTGATGAGAAGCCCTCTTTTCTCCAGCGCATTTTGTCCAGTAGTGGGTCACTGGGACCCCAAACCAGACCCCGTCTGTACCCTGCCTGCGACATGAGCCGCCCCCAGCCCGGCTGCACCCCTGGCCCTTCAGGGTCCCAGATGAAGACTTATGGGCGTGCAGGGCCACCGCAGCCAGAACTGCCTGCCACCTCCAGCCCAGGGGGACCTGCGACCTCCTGTCACCCGCTGCCTGTCTCCGGCATTGCTCCAGAAATCTGACATTCGGGGTTTGGGGGAGGAGGAAGAAAAGGCAAAAGGCAAACCTCTGAGTGACAGCTGATGGCTCATTCCTCCATTGTGGCTTCATTTGCTTATGGAAGAGGTGGTGACACACAAGAAGGAATTACCTGTGATCAAGAGCCTCCCCTCCCATGGCCAGAAAATGGGAACTCTAAGGAGGAATCTCGAGGACATGGCTGAGAGATCGAGGTAAATTTTCAAGGGTTTCAGGAAGGAAGGCAAGCCCCTCCTGCTACGGAGCAGGGTCCCCGCCCTCCCGAGCTTGGCTTCTCAGAACTGCCTCTTCTCCACCATCTAACCTCCAGCTGGACCCTGCGACGACTCAGCATAACAGGGAGAAGTAGGCGCAGACGTGGGAACCGAGGCTGGGAGGAGTCACTCGACCTGTCCTGGGCTGGCCAACGCCCACGCCCTGGCTCCCTGGCCTCTGAGACCGGCCCCAGGGCAGCAGGACAGGAACGCGACGGAAATCGGACTGGCAGGGGGGAGTCACACCCTGAAGTTGCTTCTGATGGAGGGATTCTCAGTACCCACCGGTCCAGGGAGACCCACTGACACCAGGGAGTGACGGAGCTCGGGAAGGGGAGGGTGCTCACGTTTGCAGTACACGTCACCTGACGTCACAATTACTGTCAGGTATGTCTGGAACTGCAGCTTAGCAGGTCCAGTCTCGCCACCCGAGGCCGGCAGGCAGCAGGGTGCCACACATTTGGGCTGGGTCCTTTTCCAGGCAGCAGGCCACAAGCACCATACTCCCCTAAACCCCCTTTTTCTCCTTGCCCCTCCTCGAAATGCCCACAGCAGATAACAGCTCAGAGACTCCTGCTCTGTGCAAACCCTGGGAGCCCCTGGTGGGCCCTCCCAGGTCTCCCATCTCCCCTCGATGGGTGGGCTCCACCACTAGAAACCGCACAGACGCAGGGAGACTGTAGGAAGGGTCAGAAGAAACGGAAAGAACCTCGACACAGACGGACACGTACCAGAATCGGATGCCTGCCTCTGACCAACTCCACCCATCCCCAGATGGGACACCAGCCCCACAGACCTCCTCGCCCACAGCTGACGCTCAGGGAGCAGGGCCTGGGCCTGTAGCTACACACAGCAAGGGCGGGGGCACGGCCGCCCTCCTCAGGCCCAGTTCCTCACGGGGGACAGAACAGCAGCCCTGACGGCCATCCTCCCACCCCCGCGGGCCAGGACTCGGCACCGGGAGGGCCAGGGGGGCTGCCTGAGGCAAAGGAGGGGCAGGAGGCAAAGGAGGGGCAGGAGGCGCTCAGCGGCTAAATGAACGAATGCCCTTAGGAGACAGAGCTTCAGGAACTTCCTCCTTCCATTCTCCTAGTTCTCTATCATTAAAAAAACAGGACTAATAACTACTCCTCTCATACCCATCTCCAGAATTACTGTCCTAAGGAAAGGGTCAATCTGGGGGCCAACCCTCGTGTGAAGACTGACAGAATCCCAGCTCAGCTCTCGCCCTGGGAGCGCCCACAAGGGTGGAAGGGACCCCAAACATGTGCAGGCCAGCCCTGCCCACCCACTCTGGAGCACAGCTTCCAGAAGCACCCAGCAGGGAAGGGGACAATCCTGGAAAGGCATGGCCCTCCTGGCCACCACGGGCACCTCACCTCGAACGGGCAGGCCAGAGGCGAGGTCCCAAGAATTAACAGCCACCAACCCTGGGGACTGCGGGCCACAGAAGAGCTGGAGCATCCCCTCCCCGGCTGGAAGCAGGACCAGGAGAGGCCTGGGCGCGGCCGCGGTGCCAGGGGCCTGGGCAGCAGCCGCGCGGGGTTCCGGGAGCCCGGGCGGAGAAGCCCTGTGATTCCTAGTCGCCCTCTTAAAATATAAAGACTCAATTATCTTTGAGCAGCTTGCTTTACACATGAATTGACACATTTATTTTACAATAAATAACTGAACGTTATCTGTGTTTCCTTTACTGTTAATCTACACAGAGAAATAATAAACAGGGCTTGTCTACAAAAATGCAACCGCTGCAGTCCTCAGAATTCAATTAAGCTAAAATAATTAATGCTCCCACCATATTAAATTACTTTATACATTTGAGCCCCTGAAGTTCTATTCTCTCATCTTTCCTTTTTATTAAATAATAATAATAATGGGAAAAAAAAAGTTGGTGTCAAAGTGGGCAGGGGGAGGGAGAAGGGGACACACGAGAGAGGATGGTGATGGGACGTCCGTCGTCCGCGGACATGACATGGGGACTGTTCTGTGCCTCTGATTAGAATAACGTTTTAAATTCTTTGAACAAACACATCTCTTTGGACTTCGAAGGGGCTACCTTACAGATTACGTCGAGAACGGAGAAAGCCACTCGCCCTGTGCTGAACGGAAAAGGCCAAGAATATCCCCCGTCCACATAAGATACAAACACCAGAGGCTGCCCGTAGTATCACACTCAAAACGGGGGTGGGGGGCCCCGCGGGCGGCCGCTCACTGGGAAACACCTTCGCCGGGAAAGGCGGACCCAGGTAGGTTTCTGGCCAAAGCAGAAGCCGCCCTGAAAGGCCCGTGTGCGCGGCTGCCAGGCGCTTGTACTGCTGATGAAAACAATCCTCGGGCGTCTGAAGATGAAAAGAAAGGGTGGGGACCCCAACGATACAGACAAAAGGGACCCAGCACCTTTCTCGTTTGATGGCCCCGACCTCACCGAAGGGAGTGTCACTCAGATCCGCACAGAACTCAGAAAGCAGGGTTCGCGCGACCCTGGCCTGAGACATTCACTCAAAGCCCTTGGTGCCTTAGGCGTGTGGGAGCTCTCGTGCTAGGACGGGACGTCCACCGGAGGCAAGGCCCACACAGTGTCCCCAGTGCAAACCACCACAGTCTCCCCACAGGAGAGAGCTCACTGATCCCATTTTACAGATTGGCAAAGTGAGGCCCACCATCACAGAGCTGCTACAGAGAAGCTGGGCTTGTTGTATTACCCTACCCACTGCCTCCTGATGGGTCTCTGCCCATGCCCATCCATCCCACTCCTGGGAGTAGGGGGCCCTGGCTCCCCAGGCTCACCATCCAAGGAACACCAACGCCTCAGCCCCTCCGGTATCCCCGCTAGCTTCCATGACCAAAACACAGTGGAGAAGGATCCGCACATTTTCCCAGCCGGCCACCTACACCTACTTGCAAACCGCAGCACAGAGGGGACCTCCCGAAAGAGAGGTTCCACTGGCAAAGCATTCTGGAGCCGCTGCCCATTTAGCCCGCAGGCAGGCTTGCCAGTGTGATCACTCCCTGCTGACAGGTGGGGACACTGAGGCAGGGGCGCAGTAGCGACTTGTCCAAAGTCCGCATGTGAACCCTCGTCTGCACACCCTCTGAGGCCATCTTGCTGTGGGACAGGCTGCCCTCCGGGGCACACAGGCGGGCCAGAGCCCTCCTTCGTACACAAGGCCCCGGGCTCAGGAGGATGACCCAGAGGCAAGCACTCTGCTTTGCACAGAGCCCGGGCTCCGCAGAAGAGGACCTGGCAGGCCGTGGCGTGGCCTGGAGGGACGCAGTGCAGCCACACTCTGGTGAGCACACCGGCTGGAGGAGGAAAGCCCTGTCCGTCAGGTGGTGAGGACCCGTGGTCCAGGTGGCCGGCCACCCGGGCATGCCGAAGGGCATGGGCGCCTTCCCCAAGGGCTCAGTGCTCCAGCAAGTGCCACAAGCCCTTCCCCAGACCTGCGCCTAAGGACCAGGCAGTGTCAGAAGGAGCCTCTTTGCACAGGTGGGAAACTGAGGCCAGAGAGAGGAGAGGAAGAGAACAAGTGATCGCTTTCATGAGTGCCTTCCAGGGACCACCCACGGCTGTCCCACAAGCTCACAACAGCCCTACCGAAGGAGGTGTCACAGGCTCCGCTGCACAGGTGAGGAACGGCCCGGGCCCCCCTGGGAAGCATGGATTCCAACCCAAGGCTCCCCGGCCCCAGAGCCAGAGACTAAGCCATGAACCACAGCACCGTGGGGCCAGCCAGACTTCCCGATTCCCGTTCTGTACTCCTGGCCACCTGTGCATTAGGCCACACCTGTGCAGCGCCCCATTGCCAAAAGCAAGGCAACCATCAGCCAGTCTGGCCGCCCTGAACCCCGGGTCTGGCTCCTCCTGAGGGTCACCTGGACGGTGGGCCCTCAGAAAGGGCCAGCCTGGCGGGTGGCCCAGAGGCCATCCGGGTAGCTCCCGAGCATCCCAGCACTGACACCCAGGGCATCGAGGGGTGACGGCGGGCACGGGACACAGGAGGCGGCTCCTGCGGCGGCCAGGCGAGTGCAACGCTCCATACCTGCAGTGTTCTCCTGCTTGGGGCAAATGCCTTTCGTGGGCGAGAGCAGGTGGTCATCTTCATCGGGAGTGACTTGAATCCCGATCTCCACCGGCTCGGACACTTTCCTGAGCTCGCAGCGTGAGGACGGCGGCGGGCTGCCCTTGTCCAGGCCTTTGTCATAGCAGGCTCCCAGGGCGCCGCCACACTGCTTCTTCTTGTGCTCTATAAAAACCAGGATGTCCCCCAGGGGAAAGTTCATCTGACACTGTCCACAGGTGAGCAGGTCAGGGTCGGGGCCACCCACCAACAGCCCCAGGCCGCTGGGCTCCTCTATCTCCAGACCCTCGTCTTCTTCAAGGATGGCAGCCTCCACATGGTCAGCCTCCGCTGCAGAGAGAAAGGAGAGGGGGGCAGAGAAGACAGAGGTGGGCTTAGGCAATCGCAAGCACCCGTTGTGCATTCCAACCCTTCCCCACCTAGAGGCGGGCCCCTCCGCTGCAGGACGCCAGAGTCCACTGTCCTCCCCAGGACTCCTGGAGGCAGGGGGTCACCACCCCGAGTGTGGGCGGCAGGTGGCCGAACGGAGGCTCCGGGAGCAATGCCACGGCTCCCTGAGGTGGTGGCTCAAGCAGGGCTGACCTTCCTGCATCCTAGTTTCTTCTCTGCCAATACCCACCCCCCAGCATACAAACACACGTGTTCACATACACATCACACATCCTGGTGCCACAAGAGACTCAGCATCCCGGACACGGCGGGATCCGATAGAGACAGGACTCTCAAACATCGGAGAATGCCCTGGGGCGCTTGGGAAACCTCCATGCCCAGGCCAGTGACCCCCGGGATCCAGACACCAGGTTGTTGCTCTTGAGGGTCCCAGGTGATGCCGATGGGCAGCCAAGGCCGAGAAGGACGAGCAGAGCCGTCTGGCCTCGCCTCCACCTTCCATTCGTGCCTTCCCCATTCACGCCAGGTCCAACGTGCATTCCTGCGCCTGAGACCTGGTTGAACACCAGACGAGAACACAGAGACCTGGGCACCACCAGAGGCCCAGGCCTGCCGAGAGAAGGAAGCCCACATGCTCAGAGAGCAAGTGACTTCGTCTCGGAAGGAACAACGCAGCAAAGGGACCCTGCGGTCTGCCAGCTGAGAGGGGTAGCTGGCGCCAGGAGGCACCTGGTCAGACCTCCACTACTTTGTAGGTTTCCCAACACTCATCAATCACCTCTGTCTTTTTTTGTGTGCGTGTCCTCGCCCAAGGATATATTTTCCATTGGAGGGGGAAAGAGAGAGAGGGCGAGAAACATCGTTGTAAGACAGACACGTGGACTGGTTGCCTCCCGGACGACCCCTGACCGGGACCAGGGATTGAACCTGCAACCCAGGTACGTGCCCTTGACCAGGAATCAAACCCGCAACCCTTTGGTCAGCAGGCCGACATTCTAACCGCTGAGCCAAACCGGCCCGGGCACCTCTGTCCTTTTTTGCATTTGGGCTTGACTCTCACTCCCAGAAAAAGAAAAGGAAAAAAATTCCCCAGACTCCAAAAGCATTTCTTGGCAGATGACAAACCACACTTCCAATGGGTTGTCCACGTTCCCATTTCTTTAGCAGCCCATACCCTTCCTGTTTTGTAAGGGGCACAGGACCCAAACATTCTGAAGCTAATAAATGCCTCAAAAAGCAGCAAGCCCCCCGGGGAGACTGGGAGGCCCGGCCGCAGACAAGGCGTCATAAATCAGGGACCAGGACAAGGGGTTGCGTCTTCCCTCCGGGTCTGAGTGAATCCGAGGCACAAGTGTTGGGGTGTTCAGATGTCGGACACCCGAGGAGGCAGGTAAATTTTAAGTTGTGTGGTGTTTGGGAGAAGATGGTGAAAACCGCAGAGAGAACAGAGAGAAGGAAGAAGGGGAAAAAAACACATTCCGTGGCAGTGAAGTTACTGGCGGGCCAGAGCCAAAGAACAGATAATTTAAGGAAAAATCCTGCGGCATCTTACATATTACACATAAATCACAGCTCTGTATTTTCTGAACACGGGCTTCTGCGGGGCCTGCGAGAGTCCATGTGTAGGAACGAAGCTACAGTAGTCGGCACACGACACAGAACACGTATGAACTAGGAGCATGTAGGGCCACAGGGAGGTGTTGCTGAGAAGGAAGACTGGCATCTGAGGTCCTGCCTGGGGTTCTAGCAAAGCAGACAGGGCCTTCGATGACTGCACTGCAGACACGCATCTGAAAGGTGGTCATGCAAAAACACCCGCGGATCCGCGGATGAGGGAGCCCTGAATCTGCGGTCTGCTTCCCTCCAGCAGAGAGAACCGAGAAGGTACGAGAAACCATTCATTACACTTTAAGAAGAAATCCGAGTTTACTTAAAAAGGAGTTGGAGGACAATGCTCCATAATTAATTTACCAATTTATTTTATGCAAAGACGCTTTGCCATGGTGAGGATGTAATCACAGCCCTCCCACTGAACGGCGGTTCTGGGGGGACGGGATCCCTGCGCACCGCTCGGTCGGGGCGGGAAAGGTAATTATCCCGAGTCTCTCTCCCTTTAACGATCTAGCATTGAGCAATACTGTTTATATTGAAAAGCTCACACCTTTAATTACCAATGACGTATACGTAACTTCAGAGCCAGGAGGGCTGCTAAAACACTTCTTCAGAAACAGAGGGACGTACCTACGTGTGCCGTTTCTAGAGGAGAAAGTCTAATAATGGGAGGAGGGTGTCAAAATATTGTTTTGTTACCAAAAAAAAAAAAGAAGAAGAAGAAAGAGGCACAAAAGAAATGAGCCGAAAAGCAAAAAAAAATAAAATAAAAAGACCAAATGAAATTGAGAATTCAAATGGAATGGGTGAGTTCTGCGCTGCGAAGGGGACGGTACCCAGCCTCGTGTCAGGGCCTCTCCTGGGCAGGCTGGGCGTGCTGCCCTGTCAAGGGGCCACTGGGTACAAATAAACCACGGCCACAGCGGCCCCAGCCCCTTCCCGGCCCCATCATCCTTTCTGAGGGCGAGGGGGCGTCTTCTGTTGTCTAATGTCGCCTTTGGCTTCCTTTCCTCGTCGTGTGTCGCTTTGCTCGCCGTGAACTTTTGCAGCCTGGTGGCTGGCTCTCCCGTGCCAGGAGTTCTAGGACGCCTAAACACCTCCTCTCTGCTGCGGGGTTTGAAGCTACATCATTGCAAATTCATGTTATAATTCGAAGGAAACAAAGACTGATCTGAAAGTTCGCCAGGGTCACGTGGGCTCCTTTGCAAGCGTGCCTCCCTCTCCCTTCCATCTCTTGCTAAGGACCCTGCACCCGCTCTTCGTCCCTGTCCTCCTCCTTTTTTTTTTTTGTAACATCTGCTAAGCCCTCCTCGGTTGAACAGCCTCGGCCTTCTCCCTTTCCTCATGGCGAGCCCCAGTAACCGAGTTTGAAAGTATCCCACGCCGGTCATTGTGCTGCAGCTCACGGTTCCGCCTCCAGGTCCCTCACCGCCAACCAACCTGGGCAGCCAGGCCCTGTTGGTGCCCCACGGGCAGCTCTGAATGCCCCCTCCACCTCCGGACCCCGGATCCGCCTCACTGCCTCCAAGGGAGGCCAGGAGGCAAAGAAACATCCACCAGAACCCCCCCACTTCAGTGTTGAAAGTAAAACTCCAGATGAACAGGGCATTCATCCAGCCCCAAGAACGGGATTTCCTCTCCCCCACCTACTGGGGTGTGGGGCCTGCTGCAAGAGACACCTCCCAGGACGGTGGCAACGGCACCCCCAACGTTCAGACAGTAGAGGCACCCCCACCCCCAAACTGTCAAACGTTTGGGTCGGAGCGGGTGGACCAAGACAGCTTGCCGAGCCTTAAAAGCTCACACCCAAGGCTTTGGGAGACACCCCCAAAGTCAGGCTGTGGTTTCATTTCCGCTGGCAGGCGGATACCAAGCTGGGTGTGTGGAGTGCATGTGTGTGTCCCTTCTGAGAACTGTATCACTGATGGGAGAAATAAAAGGAGAAAGAGCCACTTGGCCACGCTCAGAGAAGGGCAAAGGGAGGCCGAGCCTGGCCCCCCCGAGCCCTGCTTCCTCTGTCCTGTGGGCACGGAGCCGCACAGCTCGGCACATCCTCAGAAGCAGCCTGTGCGTGGCCGGCACAGCAGTCCAAACTGCCACCCAGAGACGAGCGAGCACCAGGAAAGAGAAAAGATACATCCAGACAGAATCAGCTTTCCCAATACCCAGGCCCTGCAGACCAGCTCCCCGCCTCGTCTGGCAAACTCAGGCGTCACATAAAGAAGGCGAAGGTGAGGACTTCCCTCTGGGGGACGCGTGCTATCGTGGAAAGTTCCCCGTGTCGGGCCGCCCTAGAAAACACTGCTGCCCTCACTATCATGGGCGAAAGGAGGTGGAGAGATTGCTACAATGTTTGATTGTCCCAAAGTCACATTAGCAGACTGGAGTGGATCCTGAAATGTTAAACCCTAAAGTGCACGGACAAATATATATTTACACACACACACACATTAATTTTCTTTTACAACAAAACCACATTTTATTTACAAGGCTGGGCCTCCTCCCAGCTGGTAAATGCATTTAGAAGCAATGAAATCAGGATTCACAAATAATAATGGACACCGTTGTTAAGTGCACGGGAAGCACTTGATCCTATGAAAAACTCGGCCGTGCCTCAGCTCAGCTGCAAAGGAATTTGGGCAGAAGACAGAAATGGAAAGACTTGGTTAACACGGGCCCGGCCAGGCAGCCTACAGGCCCTAACAGCTGCACAGGCTTAGCAGGGCCTTACCTGGCCAGTGATCTGTCCCTTCACGTAGCCCTCCCCCCCACCCTGGGCCCACCCTGCCCAGTCCATCTCTAACAACTGCCCCTGCACCTGCCCTGCAGGGAATTCCAGCCGCGAGGCCGGCGCCTGCTGTCCCCAGAGCAGAGCAGCACACAGAGCACACAGCCGTGTTCCCCTCACCCTGCAGTGATTCAAACCCAAATCTCTGTCTTCCATGGCTGAGCCACAGTCCGGGAGAAACATACACAGAATTATTGTTTCAGAGGTGGGGGCCAGGGGGCCAAGGAGGGAAGGATGTAGGGGAAGAGGTGCCAGGATCATAAAACCGTGTGCCACCGATGTCCACGGACGCCATCATGATGTGTCCCCGCGTTTACAAGAACTGCGCTGGATCCATCCACTCAGCTTTGCATCCGAGTGGAGACTTTCCACCTGCTTCCTGCGAAGACGACCCCCGCCACGGTTACCAGTATCTGCGGAGGGAGGGCTCCGTTCCCTCCCGAGAACATTCGGGGAGGGGCCGGGACTCCAGGCGACGCGGAAACGCAACCGACACACGCACCCAACACACGCACTCGACAGAGCACGACACTTTCTGAGC